CTTCTTTACTGAAAGAGTGGTGAAACATTGGACCAGGCTGCCCAGGGAAGTGGTGGAGTCCCCATCCCTGGAGGTATTTAAAAGACGAGTAGATGAGGCACTTAGGGACATGGTTTAGTGGGCATGGTGGTGTTGGGTTGACGGTTGGACTCGATGATCTTAGAGGTCTTTTCCAACCTCAATGATTCTATGATTCTATGATTCTATATAGCATATAAATGATACTTGCAATATAAAAAATGTAAGTATGTAGCCTTTAAAATATCAAGACAAATATTTTCCAATATATAGCAATGGAGTTTTCATTGCAGTAGCAATTTACAATATAAGGCAATATATAAGTAATGATCCAGGCAGGCTGACTGGCAGTAAAGAGGGGTATCATTGACAACAAATTTATTTGCTAAGTCTTCCTAGATTTATTCTATAATCACTGGTGAGTAAGAGGTTTACGTGGATAGCTGTGATGTTCTGAATCGCCCTCTGGTACAGCCTTTCTCCAGTTACTATTGAGAATAGATAGGTGCTGTGAATGTTCTCATCTGCTCTCCCCTGTTGGCAAAAAAAATGATGGTTTTCCCAAATTAGCCACTGGAAATACTTCATTTTGCTTCTCTTGCCTTGTTTTTACAACATCAGTCTGTTCCATGTTGATATTTTCCCCGTGTGTTTGGTTTTTTTTTTTTTAATTATTAGCATGTTTCTATTAGAGTTTTCTTTATACAAGTAGATAAATGTTTGATGAAACCAAGAGGCAGTTGTGCACATAATTTCTTTTTTTGTTCTCTTCTGTGAATAAAGGTAATTATTCAGCAAGTTATTCAGCACATTGGTTTGCTTGCTCCCAGCGTGGCAAGTCTTTATGTAGATGGAACAAATGTTGTCTCGTCTCCGATTTAAATTGAAGTCATTTCCACTTGCTTAAATTGTGAAAGCTTTTAATTTTTGTATGCATTTTGGATTTTTTCTTCACTTGTTGGTGAAATGAAAAACTTTTGGTTGGTTAATTGGGGCCATTAATAGTGTCCCAAAGCACTTGTGGTATCTTTCTGTCCTTCAGATGAGTGATCTTTTGGATCCATTAAAGAAACTCTTCACGTTGCTATTTTATTAAGTATCCAACTGTTTCGCATCGAAGTAGATTACTAATACATGAACAAGAGGCATCGCTGTAGTATTTGTTACCACTTTCAAGACATAGCAAAGTATCGCCAAATGTTGTACATTACTTTTTCTTTCATTTTCAACTGAGAATTTGTTGGGTTGGTTTTTTTTTTGTTGAGACAGTTAGTTCTGTGTAACAGTATGTTTAAACAATTGATATATGGAATATGGTCAGAAATACCATACCCCTCTACTGTTTTTCTTTAGAAACATGAAAATTTCACAAACGTATCAGATGTATCTGCTTCCTTTGAAAAACAAATATGCAGGGGTTTTTTTTATTATTATTGAAAAACTGGTGGTTTTCTTGGTCCAAAAGCCTTTTCATTTATGGGTTTGAGTTTTCAGATCAAAATGCAAAATAGGGAGAAAACAAATACTTTCCGGTCAGCTGTATTGATTCTATGAGTTGTTTTCTTTTCCAAAGACAGTGTATTGGAGCCTACATTTGTTAATAAAGAAAATGAATTTTCACACCATAACGGTACTGGAGAGCATACCTTTTTTTGTGGTTTCCCTCCCAAGTTTTGCAGTGTGTGCTGTAGCAGTTAAAAAAATAAAAATAAAAATAAATCTTTAATTGCTGTTAAGTGTTATATTGTCATGTAACTCAGGTCATCATCCTTATTAAACGTATGACTACAGCCTAACTGCAGCACTGATAATGACATTACCCTAGCTTTAACTGAGCTAGCCCAGGTGCTATGGGAGTGAAAGTGGAGAGGCATTAACAGCATCCAGCAACAGGAATACTCGGTCCCCAGCCCAGAGTCACTTCTGTTTTACCCTATTTTCATTGCTATCTCTACCCAAGTAGGCCAGCGTAGGACAGGTCCAGTACTACATAATCAGCCTGCAGTCTTATATTGCATTATTGATGTATCCCGAGATACTTACCCGTGTTTCAACTGAAATATAATCAGCATGTGAGAAGTAAAATACATAGATATTTTCGTATAGCGCTAAAGAAACATGCCCCCTGTCTCTCTTAGCTTTGCCTCCCAGTTTATATATCCTCTGTCTTCTCTCCTCTGACTCCTTCCAGGTTTTATTTCGTCTCAATTTCTTGGTCGTGGTACTGTGCATAGTGATGGACCGACCTTACCAGTTCTACTACTTTGTGCCATTAGTCACTGTCTGGTTTATGATCATTTATGCCACCTTAGCTATATGGCCTCAGATAGTCCAGAAGAAAGCAAACGGTAAGATTTTTTTTTTCCCTTCTGCTATGAAACATTTGCATGTTACTACAAATGATAACCATACAGAAAACAGTATTGTCAGTACATCTCAGTCTCCTTTTAACATAGTCAAAATATGTTAAACAGCTGTTCACAGAAATATGGATTGTCATAGATGAATTATATGTCAGTTGAAAAATGTAACAGCTGATAACTAAAGTCTGCCTCTGGTTACAGTCATGTTAGAATACTTTTTAATGGGTTTTGACCATCAGAAATGTGTTTTATCAAGAGTTGTAATATTACTGAATGCAAACTAAAAACATAGGTTACACTATCTATGCTAGCTGAGATTGTTGCTGTAGTGTACTAATGGGTACGGCATGAACAGTGAGCATTTAGACTTTCCCATTCTGCATTGCCAACATGTCTTATCCATCTTGAGCACCAATTCTGCCATATCCTGCCAAATAAGAACTTGGGGTTGGTTATCGTAGTGTCTTAGATTAAGTGAACTATCAGAAGTGTGTCTTGTGATACAGATACTTTAAATAAAAATAGAAGTGAAATCCCAGTTTATTTTATGCATTACAGTTCATTGAAGAGCTGTCATCATGTGGTAAATGCTTATTATTTAATTCACCTAAATTAGAACTAAAACCTTAAGAGTCTTCGATCCTCCTTCCCTATTGATGAAGTAATATCCAAATTTTATAGTCTGCAGATATGATAATGGAATATACCAAATGCTGCAAAAATATAATTAGTAGTTTTACAAGCTATCTTGAAGGCAAATAGCTCCAATATTATTTTTTTTCTACAAAGGCACTTCTGTTCCAGATACAGAGAAGTGACGGTTGTGTACTTCAGAGCAATAGTGTACTGTGAAACTAGAAAATCTTTCAGTGACAGCTTTCACTTGTTTATGTCCCTGTTTACAGCTGCCAATTTATATGGCGAGAGAGGGAGATGATCTCCGTTGCAAAGTTGTGGCTTGGGTAGAGCTTAATATCAGTTGACAGCTTTGAGGAGCAGTTTCTCAGGCTTGTCTTAACAAGATACTTGTCCTTAATGACCTGCAGTTGAGCTTTGGAGTACAACTGGTACCTCAAAGTTTAATAATATACGCTCTACTCATTTCACATGACAAAAGCTGTTGGACATTTTGTTTTATTTTTTACATTCACCTAGAATAAGGACTGCCTGTGCAAAGTGTTTGGGAAAGCAGAGGCTTTAAAATATCGTTTCTGTCTGAACACCTAAATTCTCTTCTTTCTGTATGTATGTTGTCCCTGTTTTAGACGTGAGGCTCAATTTAGGATTAATAGGTTGTTAATTGCTGTGAATGTTTATTTTAATTGCTTGAAGTAAAATTTAGTATGTAAAAGTAGATAGTGATAAAATATTGCTGGTAATATTTGAACATTTATTTATGAATGTATCTATTACTAAGCATAGCTACACTAAATAGTTGGGAATTATTATTTAATGTGTCCTGGGTTTTGCTATTGAAAAATTGATGACTATATACTGATTAATTTATGTCTTCCTCAGGGAACTGCTTATGGCACTTTGGTTTACTGCTGAAACTGATTTGCTTACTGACATGTATATATTTTCTGTCATATTCTCAGGTTTGTAAATTTTGTCTATTTTTATCCTTAACCACCTAAGAGCATATTACCTATCTCTACTTTTTAATGTCCTCATAACTTGTATATTTGCTCCTGTATCGTAAATACTGAAGAAAAAAAATGGAACCTTTCAGTTTCTTTTCATACTTGAATTGGTGTGGATGCTGGAAAAAACACAATTCTGTATCTTACTCATTTGTTTATAATGCTTGACATGTTTTCAGTATGCTGCTGCAAATGTAATAAATACAAAGGTCTATGCTTTGGTTTTGGGGTGGGGTTTTTTAATGTGCTTGAAGTTACTGGGTTTTGTTAGCGTATGGTGATACTTACGCCATATGGTGATATGGTGAGGTGAAGATCTGTGTCTCTTAGAGACCTGGTGTTGGCTTTGATACCTTATCAAAAGACTGGTTCTCATGGTACATTAGCGACTTACTGCATGCTGTAAGTATAGCTGACAGAAATAAGGGCAGAGTTTGTCACTCTAGGATTTTATGGGGGGGGGTGTCGTTTTAATCCCTCATTGGTTTTAAGCTTGTTGAACTGTAGTCTTCTGTAGAGTATGCATTCGTTATCCCAACATGTCAGTGGATCTCTCCCTTTAAGCCTGCAGTACAAAATGGAAGATGTGCCAATACCTTTACGGGAAGCCAAACCAAAACCCTCATCTGAAGAAGTATTTTTGGTTGTTTGTTTTTCTTTTGTGGGGGGAGTGCCTTCTAAGGAAGCCTGTTATTTTGGTAACACTGCATAGCTAGTGAAATAGGGATGTGATAATATTAAAAGACAGCATATTGATTTAAATCTAGTAAATATGACTGACCTCAGTGTTAATGCTTTTGCCATGTTTATTTTTTACAGGGCGCATTTGAGAAGATATTTTCTTTTTGGCCACTGTCCAAGTGTTTTGAACTGAATGGGAATGTCTATGAATGGTGGTTTAGGTGGAAGTTGGATCGCTATGTATGTAACATTTGCATAAATTTATACTGGTCTTTTAAGTGTATTTTTTAATGTGGAGGGAGGGAGGGTTGTTTTCCTTTCCTCCAGAGAAAGCAGGAGTTTGTTCCAGTGGATTTTTTAATAGAAGACTAAGCTGCATCCACCTTACTTCTGCAAATATCTGTCAAAGCCTTGCTTAAAAGATGGATGTTGATTTATTTCCTGCCGGATCCTGCTTAGTTTGCTTTTAAAAAATAAAGTCATAAAGGGACCGAGATTTGTCTTTTCTCAAAAATTTTACTGCAAAAATTTAACACCTGTAGCATTTCAGACTGTTGAAATACAAGGCAAATTATTGTGGTGGCTTTCTTAATAATATTTTTTGAAAGTTGTATCAATTAAGGATATATTTCTTTTAAGGTAACCTTTCAAACACTTTTAACATCAGGGTCTTGATGCCCAAACCAGACTATTCTTGCGCATATTTTTCAATCGTTTTCCAGTGGGGAAAGTGCTTTCTTTCCAGTTACTGACCCTACAATGTGGGGGAATAGAACAAGGAGATACTGGTCTTTTTTTTGCCTTCTTGGCAAGGTAAGTGGAGTTTCTAAGACAGGAGCGTTTATCTGCTAACCTTATCCTTAATGGGATCGCTTGCACGCTTCTCCCTCTGGCAGTCTTCAGTAACTGAAATTTGCGGAGCACGCAGTTGTCACGTTCTGGGCTGCTCCCATCAGCAGCATGCACACAGTTGCGACATTTCAGACTTGGGGTTTTGCTGCTTGTGGACAGTGTGTATTCTGTGATGCTGCTAAAGAGGAAGTCCCAAAATAAATACAGAAGACAAGCACCGCACGAGCCTGAAAAAGCATCGTGTTGCTAGCTAATGAGAACTTGGCGTAAGATCATAAAACACGCTGTTGGAAGAGTTGTGTCTGTGACAGAGGGAAGCACTTGTAGTGCTTCTTGAATGTTTTCACCTGCCAACTTGGAAGAAGGCCAGAGACTCATGGTTTTTCCCCAGAGAAAGCCCTTTTCAATGCTGGCATAGATTGCAGGGGGGATAGTAGGTACTTGAAAGCTTCTTGAAATGTCCTTGTTGTGTCTTTAATGCTCTGTGAAGCATTAGTAAGAGTACTTTATTTGTAGTTTTTGAGATGAGTTAAAAATGCAGCTTATGACAACCTAGTGTAGAAAGCCTATTTTTGTTTGCATCATTAAATCCGGGAAAGGACCTTTTGACACCTAAGCTTTGGTATTACAAATAGTTTATCCTGTAGCATTTCTGTTAAGAGTTTGTACCTGAAGTACTTGTAAAAGCCATGAAATAGTCATTGCATTCTGTTTGTCTTTTACAGGTGGTTTTCCATGGGATGCTGTTCGCTTTTATTTATCTGGCATTGCAGAAACATCAGATGATATCAGAAGGAAAGGGAGATCCTCTTTTCTCCAACAGAGTTTCAAATGTTTTATTATTTATTTCAGTTGTATCCTTTTTGGTACGTACCTAGTATAACTAGTATAATCAGGTTTGTAAATCTCTGAAGAATAAGTTTTCTGAGGTTCTTGTTTAGAAAATATGTTGATTTAAAAAATCAAGTCTTGATCTGGAGATATTTCAGCTGTGGTTTTGTGCACAGCCATACCTATCTACTCACTAAAATATTTTTCCTTGCAGTCAACTGTAGATGAAAACATCATCACTCTTTCAGTTCATTGCAAAGGTTACAAGAAAATTGGATCATAAAAATAATATGGTAGATAATGCAGCTCTTATCCCCACTCTTGATTGCTTGTCTATTTGTGATGAAAAAATTGTCAGCAGTATGGCTGTATCTTAGGGTATGAATAAGTATGGTATTCATCAGTTGCAAAGAAGAATTTGAGAGAAACACAAAACTAAGCACAATGTAGTTTTTTCTGTTACTGTCCCACATCTTAGTGAACCAGCTACTGCTGAAGCACTTCAAAATAGCTTACCTCTTGTTTCATTTTCAAATGTTACATGTAATTGCTACACAGACTGATTTTTATATCTTTCAGACCTACTCTATTTGGGCTAGTAGCTGTAAAAACAAGACAGAGTGCAATGAACTACATCCTTCTGTTTCTGTGGTGCAGGTAATTATAGTTCTTTTCCTTACAGTGACAGAATCTAGTCTGTTCTTGTTTGGGCTTTTTTAAAAATTGTTTTTAACTGTATTTTTGCTTTAGCATGGAATGTCAGATATTGAGCTTCATTCTCATGTCTGAAAGTGAAAAAGGGTTTAACTACACTGCTCGCTATTTTTCATTGCCTTTAAGCACTGAAATCGCGTACTGTAATTATGCTTTTGATTAACCTTGACGGTCCTTAGTGTAGATTTCATATGCACTGTTGTAAGTCCAAACCCAACTTTTGACTAATTGCATAGCAGTGGAAGAGATGAAAGCTGTAGGGAAGCATGAGTGTTTGGGAGGTATTAGTGTAGGAAGCAACCTATGGGACCCTGTGGTCACTGTTAGGCAGAGAAGAGGTGGGCCACAGGGGCATGCTTGTGGTTTTCTTAAATTTAGGTTTTCCTCTTACTGTGTCCCCTGCCCCACTATACCCCAGCTGTCTGATTCTCTTCCCTCTCTGTTTCCATTTTTTTAATAGTTTGTCCCGCTCTCTTGAGGGGCAGCATGTGTGACTTAATTTTTTAATATTAATTTGTCCATCTTGACACCTTCTCTTTAAAAATGGAGGGTTAACTCAGATTTGTGGCCACCTTCATTTTAGGTTGGCATGGTATAACATGTTTTGTGACCGTGCCTAGTAAGTGTATAGTAATATCTATCAACATCAAGGCCATGATACTACTGAAGATGTAAATGTGACTTGCTATGCTATAAGAACGTGTGTAAGAGATTTGCAATTTCAAGACCTACTTTGTTAAGTATAAACTGCATGGATTTTTGTTTGGTTTATGTATTTATTAGATTTTAAAGAAAATTTAAGGCATGATGCACTTCAATTTAGACAGTGAAAATGAATAAACCTTTTGCGTGTGTGTGTGTAGTCTGCTTGTCATCCACAGTCACTTTTTTTTTTTTTTTTGTTAAAGATTTTAGCTTTCATCCTCATCAGGAACATTCCTGGATATGTCCGGTCTGTGTATAGCTCGTTCTTTGCCTGGTTTGGCAAAATTTCTCTAGAGGTAAGCAGAACGGTCAGAAGTACAGTGATTTGAAACTTAGCAATGTGAGGTGGTTTTGTTATCTAAATTGTGGTATAACACATAAATAGTGAAAACATTTATTGGCTTATTTAATACCATGCCGTTGTGTTTGACCTCTTTTAGCGTTGTAGCTTCCATCTACACTTAAAAATCATAGGTGAAATAGCAGTCTCACAGTAGCAAACTTATTTCTTATGCTGTTTTGGAGGGGGAGTTAAGGGTCGTGAGAGCGGGGCTTTAATGCTGGAGTAAACTGTGGTGTGTATGCGGTTGGAAGATAAAAATTTAAGCCAGTTGAAGAGTCAGCATGAATGATACTGACTAGTGTAAGTACACTTACAAATGCCTTTGCCCTAGAAAGCTTTCCTGCATTAATAAACGAATGTAACTTTACAAACAAAACCCTTCTTAGTGCAAATGTTACCTTGTTCCATTGAGCGTATATTTTGAAACAGTAGGAATTATCTTGCTTTCCATTTTATTTGCTGGTTAGTGATAGTAAATGTTTAATTTTACTGTATTACTAAAATATATTTTAAAAAGGGAAAGGAACGTATAGGAGAAACCCACTGGAATACAACGTATATGTAGTAGATGATTTTGAATTTTTTTAAAGGATCACATTTTCACCGTTCTGATTGCTGTGGTGCTGATCAACTCCAGGGACCTTTGCATTCATCAGCAGTTAAAGCATTATCTTTTATTTGCAGGCATGTTAGTGCAGTCCCTCACCAGAGATGTAGTAACTGAGCGGAGGCGTATTCCTCATCTGTTCTGACATGATGTAAACGATGCTCCCCTGTGCCATATTTGGTTAAGGGCTAAGCAAACCCATTTTACTGTGTACTGTAACAGACTAATAGCTTTGTCTTACAGCAAAGGCATGTGGAAAACAGCTTCTCAAAGTACGTTATTTAATCATAAACATCTGACTTAAGCAGAAGTACAGTGTGTCAGTTGATACAATGGTAATAATTACATTTTTTTATATAAGTAAAAATATTTATAAAGAAGTATTATTAAACACACTCTTTTTTTTCTTTCAGCTTTTCATTTGCCAATACCATATTTGGCTGGCAGCAGACACAAAGGGGATCTTGGTGCTCATTCCTGGATATCCAATGTTTAATGTTCTTGTCAGCACTTTTATATTTGTGTGTGTGGCACATGAAATTTCTCAGATCACTAATGATCTAGCACAGATTGTGGTTCCTAAAGATAACTCAACTCTGCTGAAAAGGTTGCTATGCATAGCTGGATTTTTTTCTGGACTACTCCTCTTCTCGGCAATGCAAGATCAGTCAAGGCATTAACCTGAAAAGATTCTTGGAAACTTTCTTCAAGTTTACTTTCTGTCTGCCTGAACAAAAATTCTCAACTGGAGGTACAAGAAGACATGTAAATTAAGTGTGTGGAAAATGTATATAGAGCAAATGTACATATTTTGTGTGGAAATAGCCTTCTCGAATAATCTGAGAAACAAGAATGCACTGTACAGAATTGCATGTGAAAATGAGTCTTTTCTACTGGATATATGTTTCTGTTTACATATCTGTTTAAAAGTGACACGAAGAAGTGACGTTAAATGGTTTAGCATGTGCATATCACGGAATTAACTTTACCTTGGGTCAGCCGAATGAAGAGTGGATGATTACTAGAGTACCGCCTATACATAACACGTGCTGTAATCATTCTCATCAAGGAACAAAAAAGAGCAAACTTGTGATCCGTCGTTAATGGTCACCTTTAGCTGATGTGAAACATGAAGTTGCTGGTAAACCAGGGCATTTTTCTGAACAAAATGGTAATTTTTTGTTTGGAAATGAGTATTTTGGGTGGAGATAGTATATGTTATATGAAACCCTTTATACCTGGAAATAAAAAGTCATCACCAATTCAGTGATTTAAGATTATATACAAGTTTACATAATATTTTATGGGGGTTTTTTAGAAATTTAAGATGTTTTCAGTAAATACAGTGAATTCTGAGGTGAAATTTTTTTATAAAGAAAATTTGATTCTTTTCCCCCTAAAATTGTTTGCTTTTTCATCAATTTTCCACTAATTCATTTAACTATGTGCAGTTCTCTGTACAATCCTAGTGAACAAACAGATGAATAATTTTCAGAGACTCAGTTGAAGATGGAGAATTTTTGGAAGACCTGCAACCTTTTCCAGGCAGATCAAATCCCACCATATCCACTCCATCAAATCTTAAGGAAACGGGAGAACAGGGGAACGGTGATCTTCGAACCTCTCTCTGAGTTTGTAGGTGACCTTGAACTAGGTCTCATTGGGGAACTGGTGCCATATGCTCTCCTGTAATAATATTTTCATTTAAAAGGATGCGAGTCAAGGATGCAAGTCAATCTGTTGACATCACCAGGAGGAAGGATTGAGTGGTCATCTTGTTGCATGCAGATGGTCCGAGTCTCAGAATTACAAATGAAATGAGATTGGAGATGTTTGGAGGAACCTTTTTTCCCATTCTTTTTAGCAGCGCCCATCTTTCTTATCACCTCTTCCCTTTAGCATAAAAAGTAAAATTGAAAGAAATAGCCCTTCAGTGTTGCAGTGACAAGCTGTAATTGACGTTCCACTTATTCAGTGAGGTTACGGTCTTTTCTTTGCTGTTTGTGGTTTCGGTTCAAGTGATAGTTTGGCCCCTAGTTGCTTTTTCGTTTTATTCTTCTACTGATTACTTGTTAGCAGTCAAAAACACGAGCACAATACTGTTTCCCAAGCATATGTGCAATTATGTATGATTATAAACAATATGAATCCTAATTTGTACCGTGTGTACTGTCACGTACTTGTTTTTGATCTTATCCCAGTTAAAAAATTGAATTCAAACTTGAGCCACCAATGAGTGCAAAAAAAAAAAATCTGTGGAAAGAAAAGGGGGGGAAAAAACCCCCCCGATTTTTTTTTTTTTTTTTTTTTTTTTTTGGTGGAGAACAGTTTCTTTTAAAGAGTGACCAGTCATTCATCATAAAAGAAAAAATAAATCACTCCCCCCAAATTCAGCAGTTAGTAAGTCTGGCAGCTGTTTCGAAGCTCTTGGAAAGACACTCAGCTATTTATTTGTTCTTTGCGTGCGTTACTTCCGGTGTTTGGAAAGTTAACCTCCTTGATCGGTACATTTGAGTGGCTGAGAACAGTTTCTTTTAAAGAGTGACCAGTCATTCATCATAAAAGAAAAAATAAATCACTCCCCCCAAATTCAGCAGTTAGTAAGTCTGGCAGCTGTTTCGAAGCTCTTGGAAAGACACTCAGCTATTTATTTGTTCTTTGCGTGCGTTACTTCCGGTGTTTGGAAAGTTAACCTCCTTGATCGGTACATTTGAGTGGCTGAAAGAAATGGTATAGGTGAACACTCTCGTGGGGGATAGGAGCGTAACCTTCATCTATGCCAGTATTAGGAGCAATGGGGAGCTGTGAGTTTGAGGGATAATTTTTGTTTTGTTCTTCACAACTTAAGTATTGTAGATACCATTTTATTTATCTGTTGTACAGACTTGGTTAAAAGATTTATTTTTAATGCTTGAAATAATGCACTTGTTTACTATTACTGTATGTGGGATAAATATATTTTCTTTTCAGGTTATGTAAAAATATGAAGTAATTTAAACATTAAATAAATGTGCCGTGGATGCTTATTTTTGTAATGGGAGCAGCATCAATTAAGTAAAAACTTTTTATTGCTTGACTCTAGCTGGGCTACCGTTCACTGTTATGCCTACCTTAAATTATGGGTTAGTATCGCAGTTTCTGCAAGGTGATATTCTGGATACTGCGCTTCAAGTGCAGGGCAGATACTCACTTGTATCACAAATTATTTCAGATGCAATGCAGGAAGAAAGGTTCTTCCGCAGTAAATCGCACTGTCCCAGGTCTGATGAAATTACAGCTCCGGTAGCCAAAGCCACCCCTGGAGCTCGGGGGACTTCAGCAGAACTCCGCAGTGGAGGTGTCGAATACTTTTTCCCCCCTGGGTTACACGCTGGAAACTCCACGGCAGAGCTCTGCATGAAAGCATCCTTAAGATTTGTTTGGGTTAAGGAATTTAGCGTTTAATTAAGCTACTTAAGTCCCACCCTAAATAGAAGAAGGGGCTCCTTAAGCAAAGGATTCAGAGTGGTAGTTGCTATCCCCAAAGCTCCTTGTGTAATCGGGGAGATAATACCTAAGGTGGGCGCCCAAACTAAGCGGTGCAAGTACTCGCCCTTTCCAGTTACACCACCTATTTAGGCATCTCCCCCAGTTAAACACAAACCCTGCACCGTCGGCTCCACTTCGATTCTTGGACACTTACTATCCGGTATCGCTGTCTGTAACCTTAACAGCTGTAACAAGAAGCTGTGCAGGCTTCATTATGTAAAATAACCAGGCAGCAACATCACTACTTAGTGCTTTCCTATTTATTAGATTTCACATTTCATATATTTACAAAGACATCTGTAGTGCTTGCTATTTAATTTGGTTGCAACTGTCACTTAATCAATACAATACCAGTTCATACCGTCATTGTACATCATTAAAAAGGTTGTGAATTTACTGTTTTAACTATCAGCACTTTTAACTATTACTAATTCTTTAGCCATTAAGTCTTTAGCCAGCTTTATAAATCTATGCTTCCACAGTAGTGGTTTTAGTAAGTAAAAATAAATAATTTGTTATTAAACTTACCTCAAATAAATGAAGCTTTCAATCATAAAATAGTTCAGGTGTGCTTAGTAATACCCAAGTCACCTAGAGCATTAGATTCTTTTCAGAATAGGTGGAGCACCCGCTGGTACAAACCGATTCTTTATGCACGTACATAACAGTTGAAGAAATTTCCTTAAATGTATTGGCACTGTTACGCGTTAATACAAATAAGATGGGAGCAGCTCAGCTGGCAGTTCATTGATTGTCATGTCATCCTCGAGTTATCAGGAACTGTTATGATCCCAAACCAATACTATTTACAAAGAAGTTTAGTGTTACGTTGCATTAAAAATCATTATTTAAAATCCATTCCATTCATTTCTGTTTCAAAGCACTGACAGCTCATACATTTGAAAATAGTACTAGAAACTAAGAGAAATCAAATGCTGATTGTACTACTCGGATTTTTCACAGCTTGGATAAAAGACATAAATTTTTAATTTACTATAAATCTCAGTGTGCGGTTTTCTAATTCACTTTTCACCGCTAACCATCCAAGCTGCTGGAAAAAAGGAGGGATCTCTTAGGAGGCTGATTGATTGACTGATGAAATCTCTTCCCTGGTACCTTTGGGATGAGGCAGGCAGGTAGGCATGATGCGTGCCACTTTGAAAGTGAGTAGGAATGGCTCTTCATTCCAGCTGTTTCAGAAACTGACTTAGTTTTCCACCTTACATGACTGTAGCTTGAGCTACCTCTCGTAGTATAATAACCACCGGCACTATTCCTGTGGCTAGATGCATTTGTTAACATGTGCTGTGGGTTGTGCCTAGCATTTAGGGCAGCCTTGCAAACTCTGATGTTTGAGGCTTGACAATATACAAGGATGTACAACATACTGAGCACCGATTAGATACTTTGCTGCAATAGTTGTCATACTTGTTGCACAAAATCTGTCTAAAAAGCAGCTCAGGACTGGTTTTAACTATCTGCCGAGGTGTTGCACTCGGGTCCAAGCCTATAAACACATCATTGTTTGCTTAAAAATGAACCTAAAATACGGTTTTGTGTTTTGAAGGAACAGGGTCATAACTGTAAAAAGAAGAAAAAAAAAAAAGCCAGTGACTACTTTGGTCTTTTTACAAACTCTAACAACCTTATTTTACAGTTTCTTTTTAGCCTCAGTCTTAAATTCCTAAATTACTCAGAATTTCTCTTAGCAGAGACCTCAGAAACCTCAGCTAAAGAAACGTAGCCAGCATTTAGCAATTTTAAAGCAGACGCAGCTTTCTGCTTACAATGCAATGTCCTGGTGAACATACAGCTTCTGAAAGAGAAAATATTACAGAAAAAAGACAAAGCATAAGTGTCAGCTTAAAACAGTATGATGCTTTGAGGTAAAACCCCCAGAACCGTTGGCGTGAGCTGTTACGTTACAGCTCGAGACCCTGAAGTCCTGTGTGACGCTGTATTTGAGGATTTAAAGAAGCATCAGAAAAATTCATTTAAAACACGCAGGAAAGTGTCAGGAGATAAATTATCACCATCTATTGAAAAATAAGGAAACCTCAGTTCAGATCCTTTTAACAAAGCTCATATTATTAAGCTTTCAGCCACATAGACAAGTGCCTCTCAAAGTAACCACCTCCCAGGGAAGTACATATGGAATCAACTCCTTTTTAAGATGCTAAAAAATAATCCTTGGTTTATTGGCTAGCTAGTTCTCCCACAACTCTTTTTGCTCCGAAAAGAACAAAGAATGTGGAGGATGATATAAAAAATAAACCGCATTGGGGCATCAGGAATATCACCAAAAAAAAAAGTAAAGAGTATTTTTAAAGAGTTAAAAGTCCATGTAAAGCATAACAAAATTTACCCTTGTTTACTTGCAGACATTAGTTTCTGCCTCCAGTAGTTTGTAACAGTTTCTTCTAACATAACCAGATGAATGAATGGACAGATTTTAAATGTTTTATTGCTTACAAGTTGTCGAATAGGTTAAATACCTGGTAAAGGAACAGAAATCCAATTTTCAACAGGAATAGTTTTAGGGTTTTGGTTTTGTTGGTTTGTGGGGTTTTTTTCCAAAAATAACTATGCTCATTACATTTTGATAATCTCTGAAAAAGTAATGCCTAATAAATCTGGAATACTATTTCTGAGCCTCCTCATATTGCACAAGTTTTCATGCTTAAACACTGCTGCTTTTCCTGTGCAAATGTAAGGCAATTGTATCATCCCATTGAATGGAGTCTGTAATCCGTTGAACCGGGTGCTTATTTTGAAGTTTTGGTTTCCCTGTTAAAACTTTCAGGAGAGATCACAAGACAGAATAAAGTTTGATATTTATTAATACATATATTTGAAAGATTATTTTCTGAATGTAACAAATATAAAAAGTTATCTGTGTTTACAAATTGTCAAAAATGTCCAAAGTACAAAAGGATACAGTACATTAGTTCTACGGAAGTGATTGTACCCTCTGGCACTGAAATCATCTTAATACTGTGGGCATGCACATTATACACCAGAAAAACTCATGCATCAATCAGAACAAATAGGGAAATAAGACAATTTGCTGCTTTCTCTGATTACAAATTCATTGCTTCTGTTAGTTTTCTTTCCTCAGGAATACCATTTACCTGCAAATAGATGAGAATTTATACAATCCGTCAGTGGCAGATGATGCTTCAACAACATTGAACTGTCAGTTGGTAGCACAGCACTAAACAGTATTTATTAGTCCTTTATCAACAACCACGGTGGAGAAACGCCACGAGTACAACCGGGACCGAAAGATGACATTTATGTGAAAAAGCTTTGCTTGCTTTCTTCTGGGAAAGGAGGATTGTTCAACTGGGAATTTCTCTCCCTATTTGGGATCTAACAGACTTCAGGGAGACTGTGAAGCTCCAAACGGAAAATGCAGCATACAGCGTACATGCACTATTTAGTCTTTTGCATTATAGGAATACCCTATAAACTCTTCCACCTAAGCACCTTAAAATAATCCTCATGAATTTTGCCAATCGACAGAGAGAGAATTGTAACACTTAATATACCTTTTCATATTGGAGACCGGGAGCAATTTTCAGCAGGGTAATATAAATGTTCGATGTGAGTTGTCATCTTTCATACAATTCTTTCCCAATCACGTTTTAACTTTGTGAAATAGTTGAGCATTCCGTCAGCTATTAAGTCTGCGTTTTTATACAAGGTTAAAAAAAGAATTGTTTCTTACTGGGAATTCAAATAGCTCCTGAAGAGGACAGTGGTTATTAGACACAGTCTGCTCTTCAAATTAGTAAGTACAGTCCACTGAAGCTTTAAAATAGAAATATCTTCTTATTCATGGTGGTGACGGTTAGTATGTTAATAATCCTCAGTAAATTATTGGGAACTCTCAGCAGGAAAGGAAGAAAATTAAACAATTAATGTCTAGTTCTATAGCTTTTTGGCCTTAGGTGTTTTAGTTCTGTAAATTTCTTATTTGAACAGATCAATAAAATTGATTGCTAAGTTTGTACCGATGCTACTAAAAATCTTAGGAGCACCTGAATTTTGTTTTAAATCTTTAACATTCTAAAAATCTAAACTTCTGACAACACGAGTCACAGATATCCTTTAGAAGATAAACTGCAAGAGGCACATGCCATCACGTCACGGAAGTGCTTGCAGTGTCATCTGCACATCTGAGTTATGAAGGAAGGTGTCGTTGTAAACTAAGAAAAGAGGAGGAAACGTCTGTCCCAAATACGTTTCCCTCCCCCCCGCACTGATTCCTGAGAGCTTGTCACAGGCAGCGTCTGTGATGAGTATGAAAGAACAGGTGTATTCTACCAAAATAACGTACTACAGAAAATACAGACACGGGAGGATTTTTAAGGTCTATTTTTATGGCAGTTCTTCATTGTGACTCGCGACAAACCCATGCTAGCTTATATTTCGTACCTTTTGAAAAATTTCCCACTGCTGTCAACACAGAGTACTACCGGGTGATTTTGCATCTTTTTTACTGCAAGACAGACTGGAATTCTTGTAACAAAACAGTCATAACAGAAGAGCTGAACTGTGTGACATTTTTATTCCGCCTTCTAAATGCCTGCAGTAGTGAGCGTTAAGAGCTGTGCTAAATGTCAACCCAAACCAGGGCTGGAGGCTCCGGATGGATACTGCCAGGGTCATCCGCCATTTCCAATGTATGTGTAACAAAGCACACAAATAGCAAAGCTAGCAGAACTGCAGTCAGGTTTTTTTTTATAAATGTGTTTTTAATTTCCAGATAACAAAAAAACCCACAGGGGCAGAAGCATCTAGTATATACTTGCCTCAAATCTTTGAAATGTTGTCATACGAAATTCTCCTTTAATCCCCGAAAGCAGTAATGAAGAAGAAGGATTTTGAATGAAAAGAAAGAGTTGCTTATGTAACTCCTAAGTTAAAACGAGTCTTCCTCTTGGAGCTGTAGTTCCCGTATTACTCCCATATACATACATGCCTGGAGTTTTGCCTAAATACCTCTTTGAATATTCAAAAATTATACTTCAGCCTCTACATTTTCCTTGTATGAGCCTTATCCCCTTTCACGTGGCTATGGCTGTAGCTCTTTCTCAGACCTGACACGCTAACTGAAGAGAACAATATCAGCCTTAGTCGATACTCTGATGAGATCATTCACGACCTCAGTCGGTACATTAGGATTTATGAAAATGATGTAAAAGTGATGACTAAGACACGGGAAAGCAGCAACATGGATATTTGCCTCACCACAGATTCCCCAATATCAACTCTTTATGTTCAGTAACAGCAATAAAAAGCTCCTTCTTCAGAGCTTAACTAGTATTGGCGGGAATTAGAAATTTTTATTTCCTATCGAGATTTAGAGAATCTGAAGAGTGTAACCGCATTTGGGAATCTGGCTGTAGCTTCATGTCGTAACAGAAAATCATCTGCATGAGGAGGTTTCCAACTTAGCTGTACCAGATTCCGGTGTCTCATGCTGAGTCCTAATGTAGCATCTCTCCTACTTGTTCAATCGATCCCATCCCAAAATTTTCACTGATGTATCAAAAAAATTCTGGAATGACAATGCTGTAATAATTTACTATATTTGCAAATGGTTTCCACTGTCCATAGACTGTATGCGTTTTGACTACTGATTCCTCCGCACTGGTCACTTAATAGTTACAGTATTTTCTCAGTACTGACCTGCACTCTGCTGCTGCGGAATCTGAGTCTGATGTGGCAGGTTCCTACAAAAAACAACTGAATATCTTTAATGCTTCCAGACAAACTCTGAAGTATGTTATACATAAAAGCTCAGTATTTAAAATGCGGGGGTTTGCTTACAAAGCAATAATCCACTTTCACTATGCAAATACAATTGTCAAAAAGTTAGCCAAGTCAATGAAAGAAAGAAAAGGGCAGTTCCTATTATTTTACTTGCCAAGTAGGTTCAAAGGCTCAGACTTGCTGAAACGCCAGAGGTAACAAGAGTCACCAGAGGTTTCTGATGTTATGCAAAGTTTGGTTTCCATAAGTGATTGTCCTGGTTTCGGCAGGGATAGAGTTAATTTCCTTTCTAGTAGCTGGTACAGTGTTTTGGATTTAGGATGAGAACAAAGTTGATAACGCACTGATGTTTTAGTTGTTGCTAGGTAATGCTTACACTAGCCAAGGACTTTTTAGTTTTCCATGCTCTACCGACTGA